GAGACTAAAGAACAGTAATCAATTATATAAGAATCAAAAAGAAAATTGCAAATATTTCATTGAAAATAGGATAATTGAAAATAGAACAAAAACTTCTCCCCCAATGGTATAGCTCTTTGGCCGATTTCTTACGAACCGCAGGCGGGATCCATCAGCAAGGACATTCCTGATGCAGCGATTGTGTTGGAGAGGACTGATGAAATTCGATATGTCAAAGAATCAGAGAAAAAATCTACAACAAGATACTCTTAGGGGCATCACTAATAAAAAAAAGAAGCTAGCTTTAAGTCTTGTTCTGGGACAACGCCGGATCAATTAAAACATTCTTCCCTAGCCAATCCAACGAATGACATCAAAACGTATGGCAGTAAGAGTAAGATTCTAAGCACTCGATCGAAAACTAACCTTAAAAGTTAATTTTACTGTATAATCTATTTTAATTTTAACACAATATCTAATTAAGATAATATAAAAATCTGTTAGTGAAATTGTCGTGGCCGTAGAGATAAGTTATATGAGCTGGAAAAATATGTTGTAGACTGGAATATTTTTATGATTACAGAAACATATCTTAAACTGGATCAGCCTCCGTTTCTCTTGAGGGAATTTGAGACGGTTCAGTTTAAAAGACTAAACAACGAGGTGATATCGCTTTTCTTATTAAAAAAGGTATAATTTTCAAAACTATCCAATTTGGATTTTGTTCCAGAAGCTCATGAGGTGGGCGCTGTGTGTGTCTCTTCGTTGGTGAGAAAAATCACTCTAGCATCATGCTATAGACCCCTTTACAGAATAATAACATTAAAGCTAATGAATGGGTGAAATTTTTATAATCTATTCAGTCTATTGGGAATCTCTTTCTTATCGGAGGCGATTCCAACGCCCATCATACTGCATAGGGCAGTAAAATCAACAGTGCAAATGGCAATATAATTTTTAATTTTACTGATACAGAGCAGTATATCCTCCTGAATGATGGAAGTGTTACCTATTTTTCAGATCCAGGTACTAGTAGTTCTTGATCGACTTATCAATTGTGAGCCTTGTCTTTGCCTTGAAGTGCGAGTGAAGAGAGTGGAGCGAGACAATTGGAGGAGCGATCACTTTCCAATTTTCATTGAGCTGAGACTTCTACAAATTCTATCCTTAAAAATATCTTTAAATACAATGTTAATCGTATGGATTGGACGTTGTTTGACAGCTTCTGGAATAAAAACCATAGTATTTTTAATCCGATGGAGTTTACTAATCTTAATACTTACCAAAGACGTTTGTATTAGAACAGATTGTGATAGGTGGAGTGTTCCTTACAGTACCGGAAAAATAGGAACATAAGATTCGACAACATTAAATATAGCTCCCAAGGAGGAAAGCGTAAATCAAGTGTGGTATGGTGGAACGAGACATGTGAGAGAGCTGTTCGACGAAGGAAGATTAAGTAATTGTCTCTACAATATAGATTTAAGAGGGAAGAATTTTTCGAATAAAAAAAGATCGAGGCTCAGACTAAAGTTATTTTGAAAGAAAAAAACAAAAAGTGTTTAAAGCATTCTGCGAAACACTGGATAAGAACAATAACAAATATGTATTTAATAAAGTTAATCTTTTAATAACAGATTCTCCAGACCGGCTTCTTGTTATGAAGTTTAAAGGTCTTCCACAAGGTAATATCCTGAGTCCTATCTTATTTTCTATATATATTAATAACTTAGACGATTGAATATCCCGAAGAGTTAAAATTTGGAAATTTGTGGATAACATAGCGATATATACTTATAGTCCCATTATTGGGCACAGTTTAGCATTACTGAACAAGGCAATATTCTAGTTGAGAATCTTTCTTGAAATTTCTCCTGAAAAATGTAAGCTAGTCATTTTTAAATAAAGTTAAGACAGGAGGCTTACAAGTCATAATTTCACCGTTATTAAACTACATACGTAAAATTAGAAATAGTGTTGAATAATCGGTTAAGTTGAAACTTTCATGTAAATTACATTATTCAAAAGTGCGATGTATCAATAAGAATTCTCTGCTGTATAAAAAGAACTTGGTGGGGGCGGACCCAACTATGTTAATACTATGTAGTACATTGATTAGGTTAAGCTCCAAATAAATGTATATGCTCGAAAAAATTCAATTGAAATGCCTTCGCTTAACAATGGGAATTCGACTCCCATAAATGTGATGACGGAAGAGTCAAAATTTCTACTATTATATAGATTTATACTATTGTAATTTGAAATTTCTCTTAAAAAGCCTGGTTCGTAATTATCTTTCGTTGTTGAATTGTCTTGAGGAGCTTAAAAAAGTCAAAACACCTTTGCATTCCAATAATTTCATTAAATCTATATTAGTCTGTAAATATGAGGAAATCGGAAGTATTGGCAATATTATTTATAAGTCCTAAATCAGTGTGGACTACCAGTTAAACTTTAAGAATCAATTTACTGCTTTTAATATAGATCTCCTAAGTGAAAAAATGAAAGAGTCGAACAATGCATTATTTCAGAATGCTTTTCATAGTGAGCAATCTTCTAACATCTTTATTTTTACGGATGGTTCAAGAACGGAATCAAATATATATATATTGGAAATGGTTAGTTGGTCCAATGAGAAGTTTACCTTTAGCTATAATTTTTATGACTTATCTTCTATTTTCACGACTGAAGCTATGGCTCTTTACTAGGCTCTGAATTTGAACAGACTCGGAAGTCAAGAACTTTTTTATTTTCTTGGATAGTAAAAGCATCTTAGGTTCTGTCTAACAGAAGAAGTCTTAGACATCATTCTTATTTAATTCAAAAAATCTATGAGTTACTAATTAGGTACAAGAAAAGGAATAAGATAGTTTAGCTAGCCTGACTTCCTTCTCATTGTGGCATTATTGGAAATGAGAAAGCGGATGATCCGATTAAAAGAGCTGTTTGTGAGGAGGTCCTTTTAAACCAGGCTCTTTCTCACTCTGATATTATTATTAAATTCAAGGCCCAAGGAACGGTAAAGAATAGCAACGTCTTATACAAGAGCAATGAAAAACAATAAGGGCTTAAAAACAATAAGGGCTTTTTCTTTTAGTATTTTAAAAGCCTATCAACGAAACCATGATTTTACAGACTTGGCTTAGATAGGAAGGCTATTGTCTCGATTAATCGGACAGGGCATTGTTCACTCAAAAATAGTCTGTTTATGTATAAGATAGTGATATCTATTTTTGTAGTCAAAACTCGAAAGACTTGGAACATATTTTCTGGCATTGTAGTAAATACGATAAGGAACACAAAATCATAATTAAAAAATTTAACCAAAAAAGAATGAAAACTCTGTTCAATACCAAAAGTATTTAAAAATTTGAAATTGGAAAACAGTGATCGATTTTATTAATAGCACTAAGATTCAAATAATACTTAAGCAGTTGTTTTTAACTAGTAGTTAGTTAATAGTAAGTAAGACTTCATGTACAAAAAGGATATACTCGTTATAATTTATGTATAGGTTTAAGTGTAAAATAGTTTGATTTCTAAGAGTTATGCGAAAAGAGATTCTAATCTAGCTTATTAATTCGCATATAAACTTTGCGTGTGAATAGCGACATCTGCGTAAGATATTAAGTTTTGTGATACTGTGATTTAGCAAGGCTTTGTAAGGCAATAAACGTATTATACTACTACTGCACATTCCAGTTATGACATTTGGTACGCGCGCGGTACACTTGCCAGGCAGTCACCACTCCGCGCGCATCAAGATATCGATGACGGATATTCAGCGCTTTAGAAATTAATGTTTTGATTGCGAACATTGGAAATAGTCGAGAATTTTTTTAGAACTATATTAGGAAATAATAATAAAAAAACGATTTATTTATTATTAAATTCTAATTACTTATAACTAAATACATAACAAAAAGAAATCGGATGGAAACGAAATTATACGCTGGTAATTGTTAACTAAGTTAGGAAATGATACCGAATGGAAACGGAATTATATGCTGGTAATTGTTAACTAAGCTAGGAAATGATAATGAAAAAGTGATTTATCTCAATTTGTTTAAAATTTATATTTGACAAAAGGAGATCAAACGGAAATGAAATTGTACACTAGTATTTGTTAACTAAGCTAGGAAATGATAATGAAAAAGCAATTTATTCGATAACGATTTGTTTGTAACTCAATATTTAACAAAAGGAGATCAGATATAAAAATTACACGTTGGCATTTATTAACTAAGCCAGAAAATGAAAAAGCGATTTATCTTCACTTGTTTATAATTAAAAATAACAAATATTTAAAATCCAATGGAAACAAAGATATATATAAAATTTAATACATATACAGAATATAAATTGTTCAATAGTATTTGTTAATTATTATCCTTGGAAAATACAGATGATCGTCGTCTTGACGTTTTTACTGGCACAAGTAATTATATCCTTTAATTCTTCTTTAAAACTTATTATATAAAAATTATTTCACAAAAAAATGGTCAAGTGAGGCCAATTTTGGTCTTCTCCAAATTTTGTATAAACAAATGAAAATCTGTTTCTTGAAGTGAATTATAAAATAAATTGTTTATAAAAACACTGACTGATTGTGTTTGCTGTTTAGTAGAATTAATCACTTATTGACAGAATCACCGATTCGGTTTAATCGAATTGGTAAAACCGCCCCTTTTATTTCGCTCCATAGAAAAATACATTTTAGTGGAACGGCTGAATGAAGCCTCGACCAATCATAAGCGTTCCGCTAATTCCGCACCGTGGGATCACATCCTCAGGGTGCGCTCCCATGGGATGAGAAACTGCGAAACGTTCGTAATTGGTCATGGCTTCATTCCGCCGATTCCGCCATTTTCTATTGCACAAATTTATTGGCCGCAGCACAGACTCTTGCATATCGCATAATACAGGGTTGGCCATATTCGACGGAAAGATCTGGCAACATTGTAACTTTTGACAGAGATATTAGATCGAGTAACGACGTAGCGCGTTTGAAGCGTCAGTCGAAGGAAATTTTTACCATGGAGCAGTACACGCCACGCAAACGCTCTCAGATTGTTGAAATTTACATTCAACAAAACAAGTCAATTGTTAAAACTCAACGTGCATGGAGAAAAATAAATAAAGTGAAAAGTGCGCCTTCCGCGAACACATTGTATCGTTTGTATGAAAGATTTTCAACTGGTGAGGCACTTACTAATCCAAAAAAATTACTAATCAAAAAATGGTGATTTTGAATGGCCACCGCGTTCACCAGATTTAACGGCTCCAGACTTCTTTTTGTGGGGCTATTTGAAATCAAAGGTTTATGTCAACAAGCCAAGGACCCTAGACGAACTTAAGGCCAACATCCGACAGGAAATAGCCGCCATATCGGCCGAAACATTGGTCAAAACGATGGAAAACGCTGCAAAACGGGCACTACTCGCCATGCAGGCTCAAGGCGGTCATTTAAAAGATATCATATTCAAAAAATGATGTACACAAATCTCCTTGAACCCTATTAAATGATTTTTAAAATGAACGGCAAAAAATGTGTTTTTTTCCCATGATTGAAAAAAAAACATCTTTCCGTCGAATATGGCCAACCCTGTACATAAGGGACTCAATCAATAGAAACTTTTCTTTTCAATAGAATGGGAGAAAAAGAAAGATTCTGAGAATAGTTGATTCGCTTATGCACTATGCGTTATGCGCCATGCTAAAGTCTATGCTGCGGCCTCATTTCTTTTATAAATTCGCCGATGCTTGCGTGTACAGCCGGTTACAGAAAGATTATAACACTTTTTTTTCGAATGAGTTTTCACTTGTAGGGTTTCGGAGTGCAGCTTGTTCACTGAGCGATTGGCTCTTATTTATAGATCCATGAGTAAAAATCAATCACTCGGAGTGCAAGCTGCGTTCCGAAATCCATCGAAGAAAAAGTGTTGCAACCTTTTTGTAATCAGCTGTACAACATATGCTCATAAAAACTAATCTCGTTAAATTGATTTAAAGAGAAAACTATCTCCTACAATACGGATAATTTGACCCTGCGCACAATAGAAGGAATAAGAAATTAGGAATAAAGAATAAACAATTTTAACCTATTAGAAATCAGATACATCGGAATACACGGTTTCCTTAATCAACACGCTGAGGCGTGCTCCGATTCCCACCTGAGTATTTTCCGAGTGCTATGTCATCCTTGTTTAACATTCGATAAATAACAAGAATAGAGTGATATCTGGGTAGTACTCGGGTGGGAATCTGAACATAATCCTAAAAGTAATTAATTAAAACTTATGAAAAGAAGAGCATAAAAACCACCGCACAAGATATTTATGATATTTAATTATTCTTACATTAATAAAACATTAGATGTTTCGGCCACAATCTAGCCATCTTCAGTAAATTCACAATATTCTTAAAACGCAGAATTATATATAGCTGACATTAAATTCAACCGTCGTGTAATATAACTATGTATAAACGTGTTCTTTCATCGTGTGAAGGTGCCTCGTACAACAATGTTGCAGCGCCAATTGTCAAATTACGAAATATGTAGAAGAATTTCCAGATTCTAATTTAACAAATTAACCTATCATTAATATCTTCTAGTCGAAATATATGAGAATAGAATCGTTACCTGTTTTATAGCAAAAAAATGATGAATCTCAAGTACATCCTTTATACAGATGGAAATTTGTCGTGACATTGTGTGTTATTATTCGTCATATCATATATGTTATACCACTATTTATATATATATATATATATGTGTCAAAAGTTTAGATTGTTCTAGAATTATTTATTAAGTGTGAGAAAGATCTTTCTTAAGAAAAGGCAAATAAACATCGGGCAATGATTCAGTCACTTTGCTATTCTCTTGTTACAGTTGAACGACAAGGAAATGCTCAACTGTAGTTGGTTGATTCTTATATTCTGATCCGATTTAAACCCTTGGTGGAAACTAGGCCAATGCGAGTCACTATTTCAGTAGATCTAAAGTAGAGAAATGAAAATTTTACTGCAGTGTATGTTTGTATCTCAATATTTCGTCGTTATGACCTACTTCTTAATCTAAATGACTAATTTAAATGACTTCAATGACTAATCATGGTTCAGAGCGACACTTTTTTTGTCAAACTTTTGCTTATTTTTATGCATCGATTGGATTTCATCACTGTCATTAAACCTGATTTACCGTATGTGTACCGTACACATGTAGTCACAGTTCCTCAACGACAATCTCGATATTATCTGAAACCTAGACATTTAATTATGAGAAAATATATCGACTAAAAATATTTTTATCAATATTTGAATAGTAAATATGTGTGACCTCAAGGCAAATAGAAGTCCAAGAATAAAATAATGTGTTATAACAATAAAAATAGAAAAGCAAATGTTAGAATATAATTAACTGTTAATGTAATCTAATCGCAATTGCATTACATGTTTCAGCTGCAAGTTCAAGTTCTCTTCAGATGTACAGAACATAATAGAAATATACTTAAAAAAATACAATATGTAAAACGAAGTGAAACCGCAAAAAGCTATACATAATATCATATTGGTGTGAAATCCGATGGGTGAAATATTTGAATCAGAAGAAAGAATTGCTCGCCAATTGATTGGAAGATCGATTGAAAAAACCTTTTTCGTTGTGCTGTTGGAAAGAGAATGGGAAAAGCAAAATTCAATGAAGGATAAAAATTCTTTACTCTCTCCTTTTCTTCCCCTCCCCCACCCACGATCATTTTATCATGAACCATAATTAAGAAATTATATGCAAAGCAAGCAATATCAACTTCCTCTAATTAAAGACTCAATCCAAGTGTCGATGATAAATATCCATGTAAATGTCGATAGCAACAGTCAAAGAATATCCATAAGTCACAAAATAAATTAAAACTCTCCATACATGATATCAAAAAGAAAGAAAACGGTTACATTGATACGAAGACAAAATCATATGTTTAAGCGCTATGACGGATCAAACAATATTGAGAATAAACTTGGTGACGCAGAGTCAAACATTGTTTACGATCGGAATGTAGGAAGCGTGTAACCTCTCTGTATTTGTTTGAAGATTAAGATCGTTCTTCTGTTTCCTGATATACAACATCTCCGAGATCAAACGTTTACTGTAACAAGGCTTTTCGTCTAAAATACATATGTTGTCCCAGTCGAAATCATGGTCAAGTCCAATCTATGGTCTGTTATTACCGATCTTGAAGATTTGTTCCAACGATGTTCAGAAATTTTTGTTTTCAATCTTTTTCCTGTTTGATCCACACAAGAAGTATTGCAATCCATACAGTTCATCTTAGATCTCGAAAATGCAGACAAAGAATCTTTGTGTATTGTGAATCTTGATATATTTGCTAAGTTTATTTGGGCTGAAAAAAGAAACTGACGTCGTCCCCGTTGAGTCTCTTGAATTTCTCAATTAGTATTGTAACAAAAGATACGATAAGCCAAGAAGGCTTAGTCGTTGAGTTTGTATTGTTAATAGCTTTATTTTTATTCGATATTCTACGATTTAAAATATTCTTGATTCTATTGTTGATAGTATCAAAAATAAACTTGAGAGAATAAGCGTTTTCAATTAGAATGTTTATCATAAAAATAATATTTGAGATAACCGGAACCCAATATTATATTATATATAATATAGCTTTAGCCACAACCGCACTTATTTAATTCTTCCGCGATCACGTGACCGTAACAATACTTTAATTTATAATCTCTACAGAGTGTAGAATATGTAAAATGTGCAGAATTTGCAACGCTTGCAATGCTCGACCATATGTGATGTGACCATAGCGCCACATTTACCTCTTACGCCAAAAATTTCAAAAGGACATTTCCTCCACTCAGTAGCGGCGACAATAACGACGTTTCTTAATTTGTATATAATATAACAGTAAAACGAATCGAAATTTCTTTGGTTATGTAACAAAAAAGAAAAACAGGCTATGGATATGATTTTACCTATACAATACAAATATGATTCTTCTCATAAATTACATTGATTCCAACATTCTTGAACACTTCAGTTCCTTCAACACCCAACCTTCTTGCAAATTCTTTAACCTTGACTAGTACTAATCCTCCTTCTGTTTCACAAAACAGTATTCCGAGTTTATTTCCATATATCCTAATGCTTTTCCTTCACAGAATTCATCTTCCTTAACCACTGTCAGAGATGGTTTGTGAATTTATCTTCCTTTGATATTCCTTATAACATTCAATGTTTTCTACAATTAGAAAGAATTTTGCGCTTCCTTTCAACAACAAGAATAAGATTATCTTTGAGTGCATAAAGAGTGTTGAGAATAGCACACAAAGAATATCCATCGATAGAAGAATTGAGGTCACGAATCATTCTATTCCAATCTTGAAATAAGATCATCTCTTTTCCTATTTTTATATTTCCTACTGATAAACAATTATTAAAATTAGAATGTGACACATGTAAATTCATATCGGCTCATCCTAATATTATTTTCACACACACTGATAAGGGTAACGTTACGATTGCCATAGACAAAGACATAAATAAAATGACCACTTTATTAGGAGACTCAGACACATATGTATTCATTAAGAAAGATCCTATTAAAAAACTCACGACAGCTCTAAGGTTTATGCTTACTAGATGGAAAACGAAAGATTATATCAAAGATTCGAAATGTAGAATGTTATATTGCAGTGACGGATTGCTTTCGAGAGTCTATGGATTGCCGAAAATTCATAAACCGGATTGTCCTCTCAGAATTATTGTTTCCTCGATAGACAGCCCGCTATACGCATTAGCTATTTGCATAATATATTATTCAAGACAATTCCTAAGGCGAATAGTTATATTAAGAACAGCTTTCAATTAGTTGATAAATTAAAAAGAATATATATTACAAATTAATATGAATACAAATTAATTTCCTTAGACGTTACCTTTTTATGAATGTTCCAATAGATATAGCGATTGATTGTGTGAATGAACAATGGAGTTCATTTCTAAGGAATGTTCTCTGCCTAAGAATGAGTTTCTGGGAGCGACGATTTGTTTTAGATTCCATCTTTTTTTCATTTGACAACAAAATTTATAAGCAAAGCTTCAGCACTCCCATGGGCTCTCCTTTATTTACCTGTAATAGCGGATCTGGTAATAAGGAGATTGGAGACGGTGTCCCTGATGTCGTTGAAGGGGGACGTTCTTTTCTGCCATAGATATGTAAATGACATTTGTACTGCAGTTTCTCCCTCAAAAATTGATTCTTTTACAACATTTCATTTCATCCACGTCTTCAATTTACTATAGAAATAGAGGGAGAAATATTAGATTTTTTTGGACACTACAATATTTATTAGTAATAACCGATTTGTTTTTGACTAGTATCGTAAACCTACTTTTTCAGGAAGATTTTAAATTTCTATTGAAATTATCCAATTGCACAAAAAAAAGGTACAATTTTTTCTTTAGTTGACAG